ATTATTTGAGGCATCCTAAAGTTGTTCAGAAGGATTATCTTCAACACTCCCAAAATTCATAAGGATTTTCCTGAATTAAAATAGCTCAACAGAGCTATTTGAGACATCATAAAGTTTTTTAGCAGGATTATCTACAACACTCCTAAAAATCACAAGGACTTTCTCATAACTGAAAAAGTTCAATGAGTTATGTGCAACACCCTCAATGTTTCCTTAAAAAAAACCCTAAATGTTGGGAGAGGTTTTCTGAAATTAACCCAAATACTATACATCTAAATGGATATACCAGGACCTAGAAATAGTTTATTATAGACCTATCACTTCAAATCAAAAGAAAAAGAGAAAGAGAAGGAAAAAAAAAGATAGAAATTGTATCCAGGCTCTCATAATCTATATTTCTCTCGTGGGAACAAGTACCACGGTGTCCCATGTGTTCCAATAGCGACCATCGACTGACGGACTTACTCTCTGTAGTAATGTTTCCCTTCATTTCACCCAAAATAGCCCTCCATTTATTACTACTATTGCTATTGCGGATCAAAAAATTTTCCCAAGTTTTTTTTGCCGTTGACCGTGTGACATTCCCTGTGCAATGGGAAACCATTTATGTTTCTACATCAGTTGCCTCAAATGTGCTAACTATTTTAGAGGTTATTCTGCATTTTTGGAAAAGTGAAATAAGAAAAAAAAATTTACATATCATAAAAATCAATAATATACTAATCTAACTGTATGTTTTTACCACTTGGTAAATCCTAAGAACTCTAGTATTTAATAACCAATAACCCTTTTCCCATCATCTTATTTTAATCAACTACCCTCCACATCTTGTTTTTTTCCCTTTAGTCTTTCAGTTTCATGTATATCATTGATTTTGTTCTCTTTTTGCAAAAAAATTACAAAAATATTAGTTTAGATCCCGTGCATCACACGGGTAACAACTAGTACTTCTTAATTAGAGGATACATGATAGTTATTTCACCAAATAAGCTTAGTTCGAATTGCACCAACTCTTCTAATAAAAATGTGAGGTTATGGGTCAAAGTTTTAAATCTTTCTGAATATATATTATCAAAAGAGAAATCTAAATTGAAGAGCATATAAATATGTGAGCTCATCAGGCAAAAAGCAGATAGTCTTACTATGTGAAATATAAGTTTGTTTGATATTTTGAGTCATACCATGAGTAAATGTTCAATGAGCCTCAGACGTGGTCATAAATCATTATGGAATGTAAAGTTCTTTTTTGTTGCAATTACATACATAAATTATTTAGGCATTAATTTCAGTGCTTTATTTGTAATTTAGGGGTTCTATCTGTAATTGAAGAATTTTTCAAAATATACTCAATCCTAAATTTGTTCCCAAAAATTGACCCTGTCCAATTTTTATTTACAAAAATTGACCTAGTTTTGACCACGTGGGCATCATGGCCAAAAACTAAGTCGTTTAAAAAAGCGATCACCTAAATAGTCGGGGTTGCTAACACTCGACCAATTAGGAGCACTTCTAATTATTGGTGGGATTAGCAACCTGACTTAGGGGGGTTAAGGGGCCAAACTATTCGGGTTTGCCAACCCCAACCAAAATGGTCGGGGTTGGCAAGCCCGTTCATTTAGCAGAGACCTTGCTCCCACCCGCTCACTCCTGGAGGCTATGTTATGGAATAGTCGGGGTTTCCAACCCCGACCATTTGGCAGAGAGCACTTTTGCTAGAAAGTCTTTTCTCTCCTCGATCAAAATTGTTGGGTTTGACACAAACTCTCATGCTACATAGATATCAATCTATAATCAATTTTCAATCACAAATAACCTTCCGACCCTAGATTTAAATGTCGAAGAAGAGAGAAAAATGCTATATTTTTAAATGTTGAAGAAGAGAGAAGGAAGAGAAATTACCTTAGAGACTTCATTGTCGAATTTTGGCAAAAAATTTGGGTTGGGGGGACTCGGGTAGGCTGAGGAGGAAGAGAGACCAGAGTGGTAAGGGGCAAAAGCAAAGAAGTTGAGCAAAGAGGGGTCGAATGGTTATGTATAAGAAGAGGGTGGGCCCCACCATAAATAGTAAATAGTCAGGGTTGGGGACCCTAACTATTTCATGCCTTAGCCAAATTTTAAATTGTCTGATTCCTCACAAACTCTCTGCCAAATGGTCGGTGTTCCCAACCCGACAAATTTGGTCAGGTTGGCAACCCTGAGTAGTTTGGCGTTAACCCCTGTTACCCGCTTGCTTGCTAATGCCCGTCGCAACTAATTACATAACTAATAAGTCGGGGTTACCAACCCCGACTAATTAGGAGTTTATTTTTTTAAAACGAAGTGACCAGAAACCGGGTCGATTTCAGCAATTAAAACTGGATAGAGTTAATTTTTGGAAATAAATTTGAGATTGGATCTATTTTGAAAATTTCTCCTCCGTGATTCCCTGCATGAACTTTATTACCCGGACTGTAATTTCAAGATAAAGCAGGGCGTTTCCCGTAATTTTACAGCAGCTCCAGACTCCAGTCCGGTGCCAAGAGTGGAGTAGGGACGAAGCTTTTTGAAAAAACAGTAATTAATGTCTCCCACTTTAATCAGTAGCTGCATCCTGCATGCAAGAAAGAAGGGAGAGGGAGAGAGAGAGCACTCGATTAAAAATTTCTATTAAACCCATGTATTATAACGATAATAATAATAAATAATCCAAAGCTCTAATTATTGTTAATTTAACGAAAGAGCCAGAGATTAGCAGTTCCCAATGCTGCCTCCCTCCCTCTCGCCTCCTCCAGGGCTTTTCCTCCTCCATAGCTAATAGCAGACAAAAAAACAGGATCTTTCAAGACCCATCAATCTCATTTTCTCTCTCGTCATCTCAACCAAAAGGTACCATTTTTCTCTCTCTATAGCTTTGATTGCATTGCGTTTTTGGGCCTGTAGAGTAGTTCATGGCGTTTTCCTCAGTGGGTTTTGTTGGATACTTGTGGGCGAAGATAGGGTTTTGGTGGTACCATCCAATAAAGTGATGTCAATGATGGGCTTTGATGGAGGAAAGATGGGATTTTTATTGATGGGTTAACCACTGTTTATAGTTTTAAGGACTTGTTGGGTGCTTTTTTGTTTAAAAAAGGATTAATGTTGAGATCTGGTAGGAGTAGGGACCGTTCTAATTAGTATTAATGGTGTCTTGAAGATTGTAATGCATGCCCATTTGATTTTTTTTGGCATTGCATCTCCTTTTTTTGTTTGTGGCCCATTTGCCCCTTTCCCTTTTGCTATTCTGCTGATGAAGAGAGCATATGAGGGAGATCTTGCGTTATTTGTTTTTTTTTCGGTGACTCCGTCTGCTTAAGTGGTCTTCATGCATTGACTTAAGTCGCGATTTCTTCGATAAATTTCTGGTGTGGATCAGCTAGATGAGATCTTCTTTTGCCTGCTTCTTGGTTATTAGTCTCTAGAAATTCCCCTTTTCTGATTTGCTGTGTCCGGAGAAAATGGGTATTGATCTTCTCTATTGTGGTTTTAATTCTTATTTTTTAAAAATAATTTTTGGTTGATTGTGATCTTTATTATCTTAATCTCATGTGATGTGATCTTCTCTGATGATGGTTAGAGCTAAATTTATAAGTTGAGTTGGTAAGTGGGTAGTAGGAATAAGAGATCTTCGTAATGAGTAGTCTTAAAATAGCAAAGCTTTCATCTGCTATCTTTTAGAATTTTTGTTGATTTTGATGGTTAGATTAATGATAATCATGGTCTGTGATTAACTTGTAATTTAATCAGGCAAATGGGTGGTAGGAAAAAGAAATTTCATATTTCTGCATGTATGTATGCTGTTCAGGTGTAGAATTTGGATCTATGAAGCAGTATCTTAAGTAGTGTTTAGGACTAGTGTCATCAGTTAGGGAGCTGGAAATCACCTACTTTATCTGATAATTGGTGATATAATATAAGGAACAATTGTGAAATAGGTGGTTACTTCCTCAGCTATTCCCGAACTTAACACCCGAACATATCCATTAAGCAGTAGGCGGCTCCAATTCTTCCGCTGAACTTCATGTGTCCTCATCAGTGTAGTGGTTCTTCTTCTTACTACGGTTGGAATGAGTGAATTAAAGTTAACTTTGTTTAGCCTCCTATTATAGGTTACACTCAAACAAATTGTTTTCTTAACTATCAAACTGATCCTATAGAAACTCTAATTAAAGTATATGTTTTAGTTCAAATTTATATGTTCAACTCGTTTCCTTGGACAACATTTCGATATTCAAGTGTGCGAGTCCAAATAGATGCTTGATCACTGGAAACAAGGGTTATCCATGACTCTTAATTAGTCCAGCATTGTTGTAAATTTCTTATTAGTTGAACATATTTCACTTTTTCTCTATTGCTATTTCTTGCATATACCGTTCATCATCTGTTGTACTCACATCTACCCTGGCTCCAAGTTGACCTATTCGATATTATTGCGAGCAAATATTTAACTTCATTTGGTCTTTGAAGTTCTATTAGTCTTGTCTGCTAAGTGATAGACTGAACTTTTGTTTTTTCAGCTGCTCTAAATGCTACTGTAATTATTCCGCAGCATCATTTTTCTCAATAAAGGATTAATACATCCTAGAGTTCAGCTCTTATCAAACAACAACAACAACTTTACCCCAAATTATTTTTTGGATAGGCTACATGAATACTATTCTATTTCTTCCCTTTAGTTCTTTTAAAGTTACCCTTATCAACTGCTTCCGATCAAGTTGTCTTAGTGATATCTGTAGTCATCCTTACTCCATTAATTATAATGTTATCATTTCTCCTAATTTGCGTATTTTGTGGTGTCCCGCCATCACCAAACCTTTTCGGTTGATTCTCTTTTATATTTGATCCTCTGTAGGAGCAACCTATGACGTCCAATAAATGCATTCGTTTCTTATCCTTCCTCTTCATGTTATATTCACATGTCTATCATAGCATTGTCATTTTTGCTACACTTGCTTTTTTGCATATGTTGGTTCTAAATTCCCAACATATTGACTCGTAAAGAATTCTTATAAAAATTTCCTTCAATTTCATAATTATTCTACGATCACATTGGGTTTTAGAAGCGCTCCGCTACTTTAATTATCTTGATATGATTCAATAAGCCACATCATCTTCAATTTCGTTATCTTGATGAATGATTTATCCTAAGTTAGCAAAAATGATTACTCAATATTTTTTCACCGTCAATATGTACTATAGGCTCATTTATTTTCGCAGTGTTTACTAAAGTTACACTTTTTTCCCCTGTTTCTATGCTACTAATTCTAATTCCTTTTATCAATTAGATTGGATTCTTATTGCAAGAGACATAAAAAGAAGTAAAGGAAAATGATTAGGAATCCTAAACCTTTCATGATCAAGGGTTTAATGTATCAGTAAATAAGAACTAATTTGCTTTTTGCGTGTGTTTTTTTCCCCTTCCCAATAATTGTGCAAAATTTGATTATTGAATCTCTGCTCCTTTGGACGTGCACACAGACCAAATGTCAATTCATATTATTTCTGTTTTATTGTTTCTTCTTTCTCTTTGCAATATCTTTTTGTGCTTGCACTTAATCATTTGTGTGTTTCTGGATATATTCTCTTCACATGTAGTTTAGCACATGGTATAAAATAGCCACATAATACAATAAGATCACCATGTCATGTGTGTTGCTCATGTAACATGTCCATCGCATTGCCTATAAGTTTATAGATTGAATTGACGTGGTTTACCAGTTGGGATCAATGACTGTTGCTTAGTGGAAAGTGTCAATTTACCTCACTAATTATAGACAATTTCATGCATGTTGTTCAGATAGCATGTTCATTTGCAAATGCTTAAAAGTTAATACATGGAACATGATTGATTTATCGGGTGCTTATTGCAGCTCAATATATCCATTATGGGTTTAGATATTGTTTTGGAAAGTGAGAACCATTTTCAAGCAGTTCCAAGGCCGAAAACTGTTCATCAGCCTCCCCACGGCAGAGCAAAAGTAGATGGGAAAGATATAAAAGAAATATTAAAAAGCAGATATAACATCTTGAGGCGCTTAGATGGTGATCACAGAGAGTTGAGCTTCAGCAACTCTACTACTCCCCGCCGAAAAAGCATGCCAGCCAGGCCTCATAGTACGAATTTAAGTAACAGCGAAGTGGTTAAAAGGGGGTCGGTATATCAAAGTTCTAAAGAGGTAAGAAGTATGAGAAAGTTGAGAGGTGGAAGGAGAAATGTAGAACAAGCCTTTGATGATGAGGGTTTTCTCTCTTTTGAGATTGTTGATCCTTTGCCTCCACCTTGCTCAAATGAATCCATTGGACGTTCAAATATTACGTCTCTAAATGCAGAACCTACAACCTCATCTATTGACAAAAATCCTTCAGTTCCAGTAAATTCTGTGGAATTTCTAGAATTATCTGAGCACATAAAGCTCAGTAGCTCTTGCTCTGGTTCTGCCCAAGCAATGGACAGTTTGAAAGATAGGGCCCCAGAGCTTGGCTCGCACCCTACAGAGAGAAGAGGAAAAGGAACAGTCGAAGAACACAAGTGCAATGAAGATCAGAAATTTCAAAAGAAAACTCATAGTAACAACACCTGTGAGAGAGACACTAAGTGCAGCCTGCCCAAATCATTATCAGCAAAGGCAGTAATGTTCAATTCACCTTGTAAATCAGAAAGAGAGATCTCTAATGCCAGTCCAAGGTCACGGTTTAGTCCATTTAAGAAGATGCTGGATCCAATTATGAAATCAAAATCTCTGAGAAATCCATCTATCATGGAAACAGAAATTGGCGGTAGTACTGCTGCCTATCCTTCAAGTATAAAGAGGCATAGGGTGTTACGTAAATCTTTATTGAATGACTTCTCAAAAGCAACTGACAAGATGAATTATGATGATATACTGATTGAGCTAGATCAAGATCAAGATCCAGTGGCTGTTCCTTCACCTGCTCATCTACATGCCACTCTTAAATTGGATTGCAAGCATGGTGCTTTATCATATGAGTTTGCTGTCAAAGATCCTGATGACATTATTTTGGCCAAGACATGGAGAACTGATAGTGCATTCAATTGGGCCTACACCTTCCACAGCGGTAAGAAGAAGGGTTTTAATAGCAGTGGACAGTCATCTGCAATGATTGGTCAGATGCAAGTTTCTTGCTATTTGTGTTCAGAAATAAACGACAATGGATCAATGGAAAGTTCTACAGTAACAGAGTTTGTCTTATATGATATTGCCCAGGCGAGAAGGAGCTTTGCTATTGAAGATTCAACTTCAGCTACAACTAAATCAACAGAAATGGAGACATGTCAATATCGTCAACTACACTCTTCTACTGATTTCGACCCTGATCCTTCAACTTCTTACCCTTGGCCACCGAAAGAGTTGCATTCCTATCTAGAAATTGCTGCTACTGTGATCAGGATACCTTTCAGTAAGAAAGAAATTAAAGAGCTGCAACTACAAGAAGATAAAAATACTAAAGCACAACGAAACTTGCCAAGTTCTCCCGCAAAAGATCAGGGGAGTGTGGCAACCTTCGAATGTATGAATCATGCTAATGTAAAGGTGGTGGCTCCTAGTGGACCCCACAGTTTGCCGAGCAATGAGGAAGGTAGCCCGTCATCATTGTTGGATAGATGGAGATATGGTGGAGGATGTGATTGTGGTGGCTGGGATATGGCTTGCCCTATTGCAGTTCTTGACTGTCCTTGTGCTGCTAATGACGTCGTCAATCATTCAAGTAAAGGAAGTCATCAGCAAATGGTACTTTTTGTTCAGGTATGTATTATATTCAAGCATAGACACACAAACCACTGTACAACTGTAGTAGTATCATTGTTTTTAACTCACTACTCTAGTTTTATTGTTGTAGTTAAGACTCCCTGAGTGAATTTTTTGACTCTTTTACCCTTAGAGAAGAGAATTGTTTTTTGACAAATTGACCCCTTGAGGGTTTAAAAAAAACATTGGGAGTCTTATCTGCAACAATAAAACTAGAGGTGCAGTAAATTCTAAACCGCAATACTACAGGTGGTCTATCAGCAATTAACCCTTCAATAATTTTCATTAATAGATATATTTATTAGAAACGCCCAGTGGATGCGATATTAGCAACAACGTTGGAAAGTTGGAGCTATAGAGGTTGAGTAATCTGTTCCTTCATGACCTTGCTATTCTAGCCTCATTGGACGTTTATGCATCACGAAAATAGCAACATTGCTGACCTATTTATCAGTCCAAATAATTTAGGACCTTCAATTATCCAAGTAACTGTCTGATGTTTAACATGAATCAAACTATTTGGTAATCCATCAATTGCATCTGGCGGCGCTTCTTGAAGTGGTCTCATCATACTTAAAAAGTTAAAAGACTGTTCACAAAAATTGCGGATTACTGGTCATAGATGCTGATGATAGTTGATGCTGCTATTTTTTTGTTAGGTCATTTTCAACTTTCTTGTTTTCATGTTTGTTAAGTAAAAGTATACTCGGCTGTTTCTAGTAGCATGGAGCCAAACTCTTTTCATTGTTATTCATGTTTAGCAATTGATATGAAAGATTCACTTCATTAAAGTTGGTATATGTCATCTAAAGGAACCTAAAATTTAGAATCTAGGTTTTAGATCTCCACTAAGGCGTAAAGATTTTCGATCTAAATATTTGATCTTGGTCTAAAATTTTAGAAACCCAGGCAAATCAACTCTTTAGGTCTCAAACATTCCTAAAACCAAGTTCGTTAGTTTAGAATCACCAGAATCTCCTGTCCCAACAAGATCTGTTGAGCCTGACCCGGGTACTGATGTTAGTGTTTGTGCCTAGCTTTTATTGCATTCTGATGTTAACAGTTCGTTTGTAAAGGGTTTTCATTGTTTAGATCAAGATCAAATGTTTGGATCAAGAACATCTGTATCTTAAGATTAGGTGTAAGCAAAAGTCAATTTGACCATCATTTTGTGTCTTTTTGTATCAACAAACAAATTGCTAAACATGATTCTCATTTGCAAATGCTTTAACTGATAAATTCAATTTTCAAGTTGGACATAAAAATGTATATTCAAACATAGAATTTTAATATGAAAGATTTGGTTTGAAATCTTTTCGTAGGGACCCAATTCCATATCTAGTTTAATATAAGGAACATGTTTTTCGTATTATTTCTCTGTCTCTCTCTGCCCCCCCCCCTCCCCGCCGCCCCCCAAATAAAAAAAAAAAAAAAAAATATATTAAGCATGTATTTTATCTGCTTTGTGAAGCAGTCCTAACATACTTACGAAAAATCTCAATTCATGTGAAGATTACTGATTATGATGTTAGCTGAAACGCCTACTCTTTTGTCAATTGTCTCTGACTTTTCATGTTTTCATATTTGTAGACGTAAAAATAACAATAGATTTTCTTTTTATCTCTTGAGCATATTCATTCTGTCGCTACTTTCTGATTTCTTCTAAAACTTCTCTTATTAAAATTAATTAATCCCATAAAGTCTAGGGTTTGCTAATCCACATCTGTAGACAGTTTGAGAAATTACCCCTTTATTTATAAAGAAAGTAGTAATAATCATAATATCTATTACCTAACTGGTTAACCAATTTAGCCCCTAGTGTAAATGTGAACCCTTCTTAATTCCTCTTGTTTAAATCTTTGCTAATCACGCCTGTAGGTTTCCCCCCCTTGAATCACATTCAAAAATAAAAATAATAAATGTTGCTATAATATTTCTAACATGCTTCATTATGGTTCACTAACAGGGAAGAAAAGACAAGATTCCGGCACTATACATAGCAGCTGATGGGAAAGGGCAATACTCAGTTGATTTCCATGCCCAGTTATCAGCACTACAAGCATTCTCTATCTGCATTTCTATACTCCACAGTTCAGAAGCTATGTCAGCACTCGGTCAAGAAAACAAGCAGATGCTATACTCAAACTCCCTGAAGTTGCTCCTCGAGGAAGAAGTGAGACATTTGCTCGAAGCTGTCGCAGATGAAGAGAAGAGAAAGACAAAGAAGCAAACCAAACAGCTCCAGTCGCATTTCATTCTTGATCCACCGTTTTCTCCCATTGGGCGAGTTTAGGGGGAAAGTATAGCATATCGAGACAGAGAAATTTTGAAAGTTGAGTGCTATTCGATTTAATTGTAAACATGGTCCATCATAGTGTTGTAGGTTCAAATGCGTGTATATAATTTAGAAGGGAGGAAATGTGATATATTGTTAATAAGATACGAGTAGAGTTTGTTGGGCACTGAATGATTTGTAGTTGGCAATTTGGCATAGATGAAAGCATAGATAAAATAAATAAATAAAAGGAGTAAGCTTTTGATCTCTCTCTTTCAACTCCACGCTATCATTTTCGAGGCCTATATGTGGGAACGAGACTTGCTGTATGGTTGTGATCCATGCGTAAACAAATATCACTTCCAAAGTTTTTGATTTCTTTTCATTTCTGAGCTTGTTATGATCTTCATCAAGAAAACCAAGGAGGAATGATATGTTAATATTACATTTTCAGCGAAAACATGAGTAATGTAGCTGACCTAAAAATGTCGTGATAAAAGCTTTATTCTAAAAATGTCGTGATAAAAGCTTTATTGTTGTGGTTGGTGTTGTTGTATGACTCTATGTAAGCTTTGGTTCTACCTTGAGATTTTCCAAATAAGTTGTATTTTTGATCTTATACATTTCACATAGCACAGCGAGAAAACTAGCGCTTCAACAATCCACACATATCCACTTCAACGATACATACATATCTACAAAGTACAATTCAATACTCAAATTTGACAAGCTCGCATAACTATCATAAACAAGCAAATTACTCCCACAGCCAACTCAACAGATACCACCACAATATCCTGAACATAAACAATCAATTGCTCAAACGTCATAAACACAAGCATCATGAGCTCCCTCCCTCTTTCTAATTCTCCTCCTCCTCCCCATACGTCTCCTCCTCGTCGTCGTCCGCCACCGCTTCCTGGTACTGCTGATACTCCGACACCAAATCATTCATATTACTCTCCGCCTCCGTGAACTCCATCTCATCCATCCCCTCCCCGGTATACCAATGCAAGAACGCCTTCCTCCTGAACATCACCGTAAACTGCTCACTCACCCTCCTAAACATCTCCTGTATCGATGTTGAGTTGCCCATGAACGTCGCACACATCTTCAGCTCCTTAGGTGGCACGTCACAGACACTGGACTTGACGTTGTTGGGTATCCACTCGACGAAGTAGGACGAGTTCTTGTTCTGGACAGCGATCATCTGCTCGTCGACTTCTTTAGTGCTCATCTTGCCGCGGAACATGGCAGAGGCGGTGAGGTAGCGGCCATGGCGGGGGTCGGCGGCACACATCATGTTCTTGGCATCCCACATTTGCTGGGTGAGTTCGGGGATGGTGAGGGCGCGGTACTGCTGTGAGCCGCGGGAGGTGAGGGGGGTGAAGCCCACCATGAAGAAGTGGAGGCGGGGGAAGGGGATGAGGTTCACAGCGAGTTTGCGGAGGTCAGAGTTGAGTTGGCCGGGGAAGCGAAGGCAGCAGGTGACACCACTCATAGTGGTTGAGATCAGGTGGTTCAGGTCGCCGACTGTACGTCGTCGTGCACGGAAGAGGAGGAGATCATATAGCGGATTAATCACAAGTTCATCATTTTGATGTATCATTAATACAATGAAACAGAATTATAAACTGTTTTAATGAAAAGTTCTTTTCTTTAAATTGCTTGCGACTTTCTATAACAAAAAATATTGTAATAGGAGAATCAGAATGTAAGTATTAAATTGTTCTGGTTAATTAATTGCATGTGTAATACTTTATAAGTGTATTATTTTGATCCGAGGTAACATGCCAAGTCGCTAAGTAAGTAGCTTATAAGAAAGAGTTGTGTTATATTTCACTGAGCGTATGAATTTTAAAATCTAGATCTGAAAATTTGAATGACAAATAAAATATGGATCTAGTAATTAAACTTAGAATTAACTCAGGAATATCAAAATAAACTTTCATAATGTAAGATGAAAAGATATTTAGGATACGATTGGCGTTAAGCTAGATCCAATCTGGATCAATTATGATGTTTGTTCTGCACTTGATACTGAGCTCTCACCAATCTATCATGTAGCGGAAAGTACTGTAGTTAGAGAATAATGAGCTCAATTATTTCCATGCTATGTCACCACTGGCTATTTTCGTGGATCTAAATCAATAATACAACACTGTTTCTATTTCTGGTAATAAGTTCATATCCTTTCGTACCTGTAGCTGGGTTCAAAGTATGAATGGAAGCAACCGACAACTATTATACAACTGTTTTGGTTATTTATATTAGTATACTATTAAAATGGACATGTTAACCAATAATAGAGATGGATGGTCGATCACGGAAACGAGACTTGGTTCTTTCTCAATAAGAGCTCTATATTTTTTTTTTGTTATTATAGATCTAACACCAAAGATAACCAAAGCCAATCCATCAATTAATCAATTAATCAATGTCATAGTTGGGCCCTACTTAGGCCCAAGCCTTATGATTTCGGACTAAAAAAATGAAATAAAATGGTGAAATGTCACTTACAGCTAGGATTAGTGAGCTTGAGTGTCCGAAAACAAATGTCATAGAGCGCCTCATTGTCGAGCACCATACACTCATCGGCATTTTCCACCAGCTGGTGCACCGACAGCGTCGCATTGTACGGCTCCACCACCGTGTCCGACACCTTCGGCGATGGGAACACCGAGAATGTCAGCATCATCCGATCAGGGTACTCCTCTCTGATCTTCGATATCAGCAGAGTTCCCATCCCCGATCCTGTACCGCCTCCCAAGGAATGGCATATTTGAAATCCTGTCGATCATCAAAATCAAAACGTCGCTTCAGCCATAATGGAATTATCTATCCATCAACTGGATTGTTGGCGTACCAATGAAAGTTATATAATTGCGTATACACCTCTTACGATACGGAAAGTTCGGAAAGTTAACTATTAGCCCTTAAGTTTTTATTGGCATTTTACCAATATTACCAAACCTGCTGGGTAGGGTAGTCACTACATCAGACATATCCGAGTGTCACTTGATGTTAATATGTTGCAGAAAGATCTCCTCTTATTTCAATGTGCTAAATAAGCATTCTTTATAGTACATGTATAAATAACAGAGTGATAACCTGGCTTAGACATCTAATAAGAGCCAAAAAGAAAAAGAAAGTTGAGGTGTATATGCAATTATCATTAAACCATTTTTATTTTCGTCGATCTCAAAAAAGACACTATTTACTAACCACTAGTTGTTACCAATAAAAGCTTCCAAGAATATGTCCGTACCTTGTAGGCAATCGCAATTCTCGGCCTCCTTCCTCACAACATCGAGAACAGAGTCAATAAGCTCGGCTCCCTCAGTATAATGCCCCTTAGCCCAATTATTGCCAGCGCCATTCTGCCCAAACACAAAGTTATCAGGCCGGAAAATCTTGCCAAAAGGGCCAGTCCTGAGACTGTCCATGGTGCCAGGCTCAAGGTCCATGAGCACGGCCCGAGGAACATATCGGCCTCCGCTAGCCTCATTGTAGTAAACATTAACTCTCTCCAGTTGAAGATGGGAGTCTCCAACGTAGGTCCCCTTAGGATCAATGCCATGCTCGTCGCAGACGACCTCCCAAAACTTACCTCCGATCTGGTTGCCGCATTGTCCGGCTTGAATATGAAGGATCTCTCTCATTTTACCAAGCAGGTTTTAATGATGTAACGCAAAGGGATGTAGAGAAGAGAGGGGTTCAATGAGAAACAAAGCTATGGGGGGGTTGTTATGTACTAGTTAGGGGATATACGGTAGTTGAGGGAGATATTTTTTGGTTTGTGTACGTGAGAGAGGGAAAGGGGAAAAAGCTTAAAGAGGTTTTGTAAATAAAATCCGTGTGTGTGTGTGTGTTAGTTATTTTTTATGCACACATTGCTAACATTATTAGTAAGTCAAATTGTTTTAATGGACATTCCGGCTACAGTGATCCTGATAGTGATGTGTGCATCACACTTAATGCTAGACTCGATATCTTTGTTTCTTACTGCTATGATTAGCAACTCCACATTAATTTAATTCAGATCTTAAATGGACTAGGATTGATCTAGGCTGCATTTGGAGTGGACCGAAGATAATCTGATTAAGGGACTTTTTTTTTCAACTAAAAGTAACTGTTCCAACCTTGGACCAGTTGCCAAACACATTTTTATCTCCTAAACCAATTTATTTTCCTTGACTAGTCAAGATGAGTGAATGAGTTGTCAAACAAGCTCCATCTTCCACCCTATTTTTTTCCTCCTCAGTGAGAGGGTTGATGGAAAATAATTGTGATGATTTATTAAAAATTGAAGGGATGAGGGCCATGTGGGAGATGTTGAGATGGATTGATGAACAAACAGCTAGGATTATGAGCTGGACACGAGAGGAGACAAAGGAGATGCACTTGTCTGAGAGGTTCATGGGTTGTTGGGTAGTCAGACTGGTGACGTATGTGACTACCACATAATACAATATTTTGAGTACATGGAATTCATGGAATATGTTCTCATGAATTGGAGGGCCACATAATACAATATTTTGAGTACATGGAATTCATGGATTATGTTCTCATGAATTGGGGGGTAACATAAAAAAATGCTCTTGATTAACTAACGTCCTGATGCTTAAATAGTTATTTCTCATTTGTATCGTACTTATATTTCTTAATTTCGAAAAAATTGGAAAATGATCATTGTTTTCTGCATAAAAAGAAGATAAAAAACATAACCTAGAGGAACAAAAATTTGCTCAGATGGAATTATATCAAACACATATTAGAATTAATATAAAACTATAATCCTTAATCCTCACTATAACTTCGAAATTGATTAGAGAGACTAAATTTGAGATGATATCGGAGCAACCTAGGTTCAAATCCCACTGGCCACGAATCTAAAGCGGATTTCTAAAAATTAGCACTATTACCTGAGTTTAGGTTTCTAAAAAATAACGTTGCTACCTGAGTCCAGTTTTAACCCATAAAAAGGGCACTTAATCTGCGGGAGCATGCAAATATATCTTTTGTGATCTGAGTTTTCCTTCAAACACTTATTCCAGCCAATAATGTATACTTTTTCAAGAAAAGATCTGTAGCTATGATTTATTGATATCAAAGAAAATTAATATTTTTACTTCAAAAAAAATAATAAAAGAAAATTAATATTTACAAAGATATGAACTAAGAAGGTGTGATGTGCAAAAGCCACTTGTCCTTTCTATTGTGTATGAATTATTTCGTGGTAATTATATCGTGCATATAACGTGTAATTGCTATGTGGTGGCATTTTAGTGGGTATACTCTTCCCTGTTTTAAGACTGTAATTAACACCGCTAGAAGTGATGATTTTTTAAGACTGTAATTAACACCACTAGAAGTGATGATGTCCAGCTTTTTCTACTTCTATCATAAGAGCACCTAATGATAAATAAACTGCAGTTTCTACGGCAGATTATCAACTTATAGCTTTTTTTAAGATATGAAAAGACATAATAAGATAATAGTCGTAGATTAATAGACTCGCTTCTCTCACTGTAAACGTTAATCTTCTCTATTATACTTACTGTGTATTAAGAAAAGTTTCTTTTCCATCATACAATTTTAGAATTCTAAAAATGTCCTCACATCAGAAAAATTTAATTGTAAATGCCATCACACTTTAAAAAATAAATAAAGGTACCCTCATACTAAACAAAAGCAAAGAGAATGCCCCCACACTTGTAAGTATTAAAGATATTATTTGATACCAGAGATTTGATTGAGACTTTCCATCTCTTGTAACCTATCTGTATATACACATATGTATATTGATTATGTGAATACAAAAAGTGTTGCGCGCAGCGGAAATTTCGGCAGCACTTCGGCAGCACAACAAGAGAGTCAGGTTGTAGAGAAAGAACAAATTTGATAGAATTAGGAACCACCCAACTGAACCCTAGATCGGATTCCAAATAGCTCTCCTATCCACACGAGGAAAGCGAAATCTCCAACGACAACTCCTAATGCTATCTCTACCGAAGCCGAGAACTCCAAAAACTAAGCTTCACACAAGAATCTTCCTCCACCAAAAAACCCTAGATCTGAAATCTGGGCTCTGATACCACTTGTTGCGCGCAGCGGAAATTTCGGCAGCACTTCGGCAGCACAACAAGAGAGTCAGATCGCAATAAGAATTCTTGTTTCTCAAAGGGAACAAGAATCTGAAGCCTAATATCCCATCAAAGTGGGATATTTGCTCTTCCTCTCGTCAGCTCTAGGACTGCGCGTCGAGGGAACCTAAAAGCTATTACAAATCACACAAATAGCAAGACAACCAATTTTTACGTGGTTCGACAAATTGCCTACGTCCACGGGGCAAGGAGGGGGAGAGATCTACTAATAGAGGGAGAGAATACAACTAGGGTTTACAATCACTCACAATCTAAACCCTCAAACAAACTCTCTTAAATCCCTCACAAACTCTCTCTACAAAAAGATGCACAAAAACCAAAGAAGAAAAAATCTCCTGCACTCAAATTCTTTGCTGTAGCCGCAAGACAAAAAAAAACCTCTGCACTTTGCTCTCTCACAGTCAGCCGCAAAGAAACAAATCCCAAACCTCCTTGGCACAGTTCCCAAAACCCTAGAGACGTGTTTTTATAGGCTTGTTTATCGGGTGGGCCTGTTCACACGTCCACGAAAAACAAAAACAAACTGCTAGTACATCGGGTGGGCCATGGTGTATTCATGCATCCATTGGTGGGTGTGGCTCCTCAAAACGTCCACGTTCACAATTCTCCACCTCGGTGAAGTTTTCCCAAAACTGAGCCGACACCAAAGCAATCAAATGTCTCACTTAAAAACAAACTGCTAGTACATCGGGTGGGCCATGGTGTATTCATGCATCCATTGGTGGGTGTGGCTCCTTAAAACGTCCACGTTCACAAAAAGATTTTAACTTTTCTCCAAAATAATATGGCATCAGAACCTTGAAACCCTAGCAGCCGTCATCCCTTTTTCTTCTTTTTCCGGCCTCCTTCAAGCTATTTTCAGGCCATATTCAACAGGGTTATCAGGCCGCTGATCTTCAGATCTCTTGTGCATTGTTCGTCGTCGCTGAGCACTCTCGTGCCACCTTCCTCTTTGCTTCAAGTTCAGGTCTCTTGGCCACCATGTCCCATCATCATCTACCTCCTCCACTGGTGTAATTAGCCAACACACCACCACCACCCGTCGTTCAAAACACCTGTCACTACCTCTCCCTCAAACTCAACCCCCACAACTATCTATACTTGAAAATGCAGATCTCTCCTTTCTCGTGTAGCCAATCCCTAATGGGATACATTGACGGATATGTTCCCCACCGCTCACCCATCTTACTTTCGCTGGCCAATCCGCGTCAGCAATCAACCTTGAGTTTCTGTCATGGCAGCAACAAGATCAACTTGTTATCTCTATTCTCCTTTCTACTCTCTCTGAGGAGGATTTTCTCCTCATCGTCGGTCTTATGATGTCCTCTGATATTTGTACTTCACTGGCGCGTGCATATGCGTCTCCTTCGAATACAAGAATTCTTCAACTGCATGAGGCCCTTCATGAACTCAAACAATGAGATCTCTCAGTCACTGCCTGCCTCTATATTCCCAAAAACATCTCTGATTCGCTTGCTGCCGTTGGACGTTCGATCTCTACTATGGACTTGAATGCATATATCTTTAAGGGTCTCCGTCACGAGTTCCAGGATCTCACTACGACCCTCAATGCTCGTCCCGAAGTCATTTCCTTTGAAGAATTGCATGCTCTTCTCCTTAGTCATGACTACATTCATGGCCATCCTGTTGTCGAGGCAATCTCTCCTATGGCACATCTCACCGGCACACAGATCCAGCCCCTGATAGCCGGACTGTTGCACGCAGGGAACATCTCGGACGACCTATAGTCTGTGGGCCAGACAATTCAACACTCGATGTCAAATATGCAATGGTTATAATCAGACTGCCCTTACCTGCTACCAACATGGTGTTCTTGTTGGCTCTCCTTCCGCTCACTTCACCAATGTGGCCGCTCCGTCTATAGCCTCCTCTACTTGGTTTCCAGATACCGGCACAAATCACCATGTCACTTTGGATATCCGGCACTTGGACGAATCTCAATCCTAACTTGGCTTCAACAGTCTTCATATTGGTAATGGTAAAGGTCTCCCTATCTCTCATGTTGGTTCATGCACCTTACACACACCTACAGAATCATTCAATCTTTCTAATATTTTGCATGTTATGGCCATTTCCAAATATTTATTATTTGTCTAACAATTCACTAAAGACAACGATTTGTTTTTTAAGTTTCACCCGTCCTTTTTTGCTGTGAAGGTTCAGGTCACCCATCTACTTATCGAACAGAGTGAAAATGATCTTTACACCCTCCATAACCAAGTCACTACTCATTCACTCTCTGTTGCTCATCTAGCTGAACAAGCCTCATCTAATATCTAGCACCAATGCCTCGGTCACATGCATAGCCAACTAGTTAGGACTATAATAAAGAGACATTGTCTTCTTTGTTCTTCTATAAAGTTTACTTCTCTATGTATGGATTTCCAACTTGGCAAAGCCCCTAGGTTATTTTTGCCAGTTTCACATAATAAATGCAACTCTGTTCTTGAGCTTATTTTTAGTGAGGTTTAGGGCCTTCTCCTACTATATCTTCTGATGGTCACTATTATTTTGTTTTGTTTGTTGATGCATATTCGAAGTACATGTGGATTTTCTCACTTTCTCAAGAATTTGAGGTGTTTATTGTCT